TATATTTAATTAGCATATTTTAAAATAATGAATGGTCGATAGCAATTTTTGGATAAGTACGTTGAAAGTTATTAACTTTTTTATACTTGGGCGAAAAAAAGAATACGAACGAGAATGTTTAATTATACAAATAGTCGTACTCGCGTCTTTCCTCCAGAATAAAGCGAGTGTATTTGAATGTAAAGAGTAGAAAAATCTAAGTAATTTATATTTTTAAATTATAACTATATTTAGTATAGACATATTTGATTATTAAATTTCACTTAATAATTGTAAAAATATTTAACGATTAATATTCCACACATTTCTCACTTGATACTGCTAAGAAATAAAGAAAAGGTTTTTATATTTATGTTGTAAATCAATTTCTACTAGGAAGTTATAATAGGAGTTTAAGAGAAATTGACAAATAAATATTGGCAATTTCATTTCTATGATATACCTCGTAACATATGAACTTACTACACCCAAAAGGGACAATATTTCTTTTGGCAGCTAATTTCATCCTCCAACGATCTCAAAATCTATATAAAAATGTTTTTACACGCGTCAGTGTTTTTCAGAACTAAACAATCTGCTTTTACTCTTCCACACATAGTCTTCTACTCTTTAGGTTTGCTCAACTTTTCAACTTTCACGTATATACATTTATACTGTTTAACTATATTGTTAGATAATGAAATACTGTCAGGATCGATTTAGCTACGAAAATGAAAACTTAGTTGAATGAAAATGACAGCTCATCACTTAGAAGTGTCCAAATAAAGAACATTAATATCAAAACATTAAAACGTGAAAATTATGATAAAATAAGTTACATAATTTTAATCCATTGCAATAGAAATTAAAACTTAAAAGGATCTGTTATATTTGCTTATGTCAAATTTAGCATAAATTATTTTACAAATTTTATCCATTTAGTCAGTTGTAACTTCAAACATTGCATGTAGTAAAATGTTAATTTTATTAGTTGAGATTAACTGTTTAACACTGAAGATAATATTTATAGATTTTTGTATTAAATGAAATAAGTAACATTTATATTTTAAATTTTCTATGAAATTGAAAATTACATTGAATAATTATAAATTGACGTTTCAACTTATTGTAAGCATAAACATTTTTTTACGATCTAATTAATTTTTAAATATTTTCAAATTATTTAATAGAAACTTTTAATTTTCGGAATCAAAACTTGAAATGCTATAAATAAAGATTTTATTTAAAAATAATAAACTATGAATATTTAATGAGTATTGCTTTTCAAGAAGAAAATTATTTAAGAGTACAATCGTTATTAAACGTTTTTATGAATAACAGCAATAAGATTTTATTTTAATAAGTAGTTCTTAAAAATTATTTTTAATTATTACCAAAGTTTTTAAAAATTGTTAATATAAAAAATTTAAAAAAATGTGTTAATAACTATTAAGTCAACATTATGATATATGATGTAGTAAATTCATTTTGAGGAATGACAACTTCTGTATTTTTTGATTGTCGAAAAAAGATATAGCAACTTCATACAGATTTAGCTAATTTCAAAAGGCGCTATTTTAGATCATTAGCTGTTTTTCGTCTCTATTATATTCATCTCTACTTAAAATACAGAACACTATCATTAATCAAGATCACTTCTGCAGATGTCATAACAGATCCCATTGATAAAATGAATAGGAGAAAAAAATTAACAAAAAAAGTGTCTACGTTCCTCGGTGGAAGACAGCCAAAGTACTGACTCAAAATAGATAAGTTTTTGCCTTTATATTCTATGAAACCCTTTACTTATAGTCTCATTTATCTTGACAACATCAGTACTATTTTGCCAAATTATTAATAAATAATATTTGTGATTAATGTAAAATAATTAACTTTAAACATAAAAGAAAATGTAATTTGAATATAATGATTGATTAATAATAATATATTGTTTAAAATAACTACAAAATCATGAAGTTAAATATTTAACTTTCTCCTTTTTGTTTATTTAATGAAACAAAGTTTTGTAATGAAATATGATTTGGTATCTTTGATGTTGACAGTGTCGAAAAAGCTTTCATTTTTTGTTTTAATAAAAAAGTTCAACTTTGTAGATATATGCAAGTATTGTATATTCTGTTTGTAATATACAAACATGTATATAATATCACATTAAACAATATAAGTATAGTTTTTTGAATTACCTCTCATTTATGAACGCATACAAAACAATATTTATTTTTTGAATCAACAAATATAGTATTCGTTCTATTTATTTGATTGTCTACTCAATATCTTTTATCGGAAGTAAAAAAAAGTTTTCAATTTGCATCCGCTTTTCTGCATACAGTGAAATCAACCGGAACTCTTTCTGATACATCATAAGATATATTTTAAAATACAGTTTTTCTTTAAATAATCTTTTATTGAAATTCATTTCAAGGAATCTTATAAAGAATTATTATATTTTATAGTACAGTTGTTGATTTAAAGACATATTTAAAAATGCTAAAGCAAATTATTCATAAAAATTCCTTACTAAGTAAATTCGTTGAACTCATAATCGAAATGATGTGCTTTTGTATTAATATACAATTAAAAAATGTATTTTAAGATGCGTTATAGACACTTAATATATTTTTTTTAATTTCTATGTTGACTTATAACTAGGTACAGTATACTTAGGCATAATTTTTACCTAAAAGTTTGTCACTTCATCCGTGTACTCTTCATCGCTGCCGTGATTTCACTCATGCATGTCTCTTAAATTACGCAATCTAGTTATTGTATTATAATAAGCACAATATAGTTCATCTTAAAATAATCTCTTCGCTTCACATGAGCCTACGGTTGTATATAACTATATTATGTTGTCTGGAACAGATGTCGCAAATCATAGGACGCGTATTTGAATCTTCCATTATATAATTTCACAACTACTTATTGTACACATCCATAAATCATAATTTATACTTTGCAAATAAACGGTTGAATAGAAATGTATAAAAGTAATTTCTTATACTTGATATTAAACTATTATTTAATCATAATCAAGTCATCGATACGTAGACTTATCAAGTTGAGATTGAAAGCCAACGATTTCTTCACTATAAATAAACGCAGCCGTTCTGAATCTTCGTGATTTTGAAAATATAAAATGTAAATATTTATAATTATGTAATACTGTTAGAAATTATTAAAAAAATTCCAACTATTTCAGTTTCATTTGAGCAAAGAAATATGAATAAGATTATTATTTGATTTTTTTGGCTTATAGTTATTACTCTGTCATACACCTATACTTCTTATCTTGCTGCCAAATGTAATATTTCATTTAATTATATAAAGGCATCTAGAAGTAATAAATTAAACTACAAAATACATTTTTTAACTTGCTAAATATTATACAAACACCTACGGTTTGTATATTTTTGTTTTGTTGTTAATAATTTCAGTAAAATCATTTTTGTTCTTTAGTAGTTGAATTAAGTTATTTAATATATTTGATTTGTTATTTACAATTAAAGGTTTTGAATTACACTGAGAAATCTAAAATGTAGTGGAAATCTTTGCTTTTTAAAAGAATAATTTAATACTTTAACACCTTCTCAAATAATTTTAGTTTATTATTTGTCGGCGTTTGACGATCATGTTACAGAATTACTACTATCTTCTGAATTTTGTCTTGTAATAAATTTATTCTATAGGCCTTATACTGTTCAATATACGTCAGATTAATTAATTAATTGGCCGTGATCTTGAGGTATTTAAATTCATCTAGGCTTTGGCTAATTGCTGTGTAAGTGATCCCCTATAATACCCACTAAACCAGCTACAATTTATGTGTCCATTTGACTGAACCAGAAATAATGCTATAAAAGCATTGGTACGATACTATAAATTAATATATTTAATTAATTATCGAAATAATATTACATGATAAAAGTAGTAGTTAACTACTTTTAGAGTAACTGTAATTGTAATGATCAAAAATACAAACAGTATAAGATCGTTAGGATATACTTTAGGTTAGTTCTTCAATAACGATTGTTATTCTTACTATATTTTTTCTTTTGTTAGTTTTTTTTTGTTTTCCTTGTAATGTTTATAATTATAAAATTTCATAATTGAACTTGAAAATCATGAATGAGTTTGTTAAATGTTGTTTAAACTAGGAACTGTCAATTACGTTTTAGAAGTGTATTTTCAAATTTGTTGATCAGATTTTTGTTAATTGCATAAATATTTATGTTAAGTATAAAATTTTTATATAAAAAAAAATGAATAATTATAAATGTTCATTAGTTGATGTCATTAGTATTTAATTTATAATCTTCAATTTGAATATGTTCTATATTATTACTAAAACTTAAAACTTCTTTTTTCATTTGAATCAATGAATATTTTTATCATTTTCACTATTCAAATTAAAATTTATATTAATTGAGAATCATTGATCTGAGACCATTTTATCACAATCATAGTAGTCAGTAAAAAATTATTACAGTAAAAGTGAATACTCTATATAATGTTTTTTGCGTAAAAACCGTATATGTGATGCGATTCAACCACATAAACCTAATTTATTTAGAGTTATACATTTATTTGGTTAATTTTTTTAGAAGTACAACTAAATCTAAGGTTATTTATTTTGAAGTTAAAAATTTTTTTCATGAAAATACATTCAAAATTATTGGTTAATATAAATTTACCTTACTCTTTTTGTGTNAAAATTTTTTTTCATGAAAATACATTCAAAATTATTGGTTAATATAAATTTACCTTACTCTTTTTGTGTGTAATGTTATCAAAAAATTATTATTTAAGCTATTAAAATGTTTAAGCTTAATATTAAAAATATACTTTACATTATGATTTGTAATGTTGATAGTTTCGAACTTTAAGCATAAAGTAATTTTAGGGTTACCTTGAATCATTAAATTTTTCTTTCAACTTTTTCTAATATATGCAATTAATATTAAAATAAATATTATTAACGTTGTTATTTTGCGTTTTTACAGCGTGTAATTGCAACGAGCATGCCAAGAGGTGCCGGTTCGACATGGAGCTGTACAAACTGTCAGGCCGGGTAAGCGGCGGTGTGTGTCTTAAGTGCAGACACTTCACGGCTGGTAGATATTGTCATTACTGCAAAGAAGGGTACTATAGAGATCCTACTAAGCCCATAACTCATCGGAAGGCCTGCAAAGGTATTTATTATTCATTTCCTTTTTTTATGCTTATATAACAAAAATGCAATTTCAACACAAAGACTAAATCAGCAAAAATTTGAGCTAATTATAACAATACTGTTAAAAGATGACTAACGAGAAGATATTTATCTTTAAAACTTTTCGGAATTTATAATTTCGAATAAATAATTTTTTAATCTATATTATTATTTGATGCAAACAAATGAGAAAAAATATATTTTACACTTGATAACATTTTTATTTTCCCTTCGTATTTTCATTCAAGTATTTTTAATTTTGAATCGTTTTTCTTTTTTACTGTGGAAAAAAACCATTGGTACGGAAACATACTCACTGAGCAACCGCAGTCTAAGGACTTTTTACTGCATTTGTAACGAATCTCGTTTTAAGATTCATAAAAAAATTTCATATAACTTTGTAGGAGTAGCAGTCATATATTTATATATATCCTCCTAAAGTGGAAATGGTAGTCTGCGCTTGGGACGCCGACTCATTTTCAAAATATGTTTGTCTTATTTTCGTTACGACTACCGAAAGTGCTCTTGAGCATTCAGAGATAAAAATATAATACAACAAATGAATATTCTCACGTAAAAAATTAATTCAATAAAGGAAAATAATGCATGCTAGTAGTCATAAATATTTTATTAAATTATAGAATTTTCCGATAGAAGTTGTTTCCGTTTGAGTTTTTTTTTAATCCGGTCATTCTAATTGCTTGATTTTATAATGTACGCGAATTTAAATTCAAATACATATCCCCTATTTTAAAAAAACCATTATAAATGCTAAAAGGCTGTAATAGTAATATTAATAAAAGAAAATTGATAATTCGTGAGGATTGAAACAGATCGGGCATAAATTTGAGATCCTCGCTTACGATTCACGAACACGGGCTAAGCGTTATCCACTAGGTTCCTGATGCGGGTGGAAGAGAAACTGTCGGCGGGGTTGTATTATTGCCCAAACGTGACTTATTGCGTAGGATTAAGGTTTCTACAATTGCTGACTAATGGTCGAAGGAGAATGAAATCCGAGTGACGAGATGTCGAAGACGTAGGATAAAGTATGGGCAATAAGCGATACAATTAAAAAGCAGTGTGAAAAAATGATGTACATTAAATGGAACATTACGCTATATTATTGTTGTTACTCAGGTAATAGTATGTGAGTGGGCGTTCAACAACGTGTTTCTTTTCCGATAACGATTATTGTGAGCACGTGGTGATAGTATATTTATTTTAAACAATTTTTTGCTCTGAAGAAGTTATACAAGTATGAATTTGCTTGACATTGACAACAGATTCAGTTTATACAAATAATTAATGTAGGACATACGAGTTATGTAACTGAGTATATAAAAATTTAAAGGTTTGGAAAGTTTTTGTATTTTTAAAAAATACATTAATTATTCATGAGAAAAAAAAAATTATGTAAAAGTAGGCTGGAGGTAATAAGAACAATTTTTATTCACTCGTAAATTTTTCTGTTCATAAATGATATGTATATATTTTTTTGAAATAAACAGTATAATCATAACTTGATTTATAAAATTACATGATTATTGCACAAAAATTTTCCCGCTTAAATATGATAGAGACTTTTATTCACATCTCTTATTCTCCAATTTTAGAACATCGACAGATCTTGTGTAGATAACGGTTAATGTAAAATCCATAAATTATGAATTATTTATGGTATAGTATTGTACTATCTTGAAAAAATTAAAATATAAAACATCAATTTAAGTAAAAACGTCTTGAATTTGGAGATCGCATTTATGTTTCAAAGGATTTCTGGGTGTTTATCACAGATAAATCTGTCTTTTATCATGCATTTATACTAATTTTAAACGGTATATTTTAAATAAACTTCATTTACAGTGAATACTGGGTAGAAGATAAAGGTATATGAACTTATATATATATATATAGTTACCATACCCCGAAGCTAAGAAAAGACGAATTGATCCTTTGCCTGCCAAAATGGATTACATCGTCTACTAGCCAAACTACATGTTACCTTTTCACATACGGGTTCTCTATCTTATAAAGAATGTCATCTATTGCCCATGAGTAATAAACTTTTTTTTCTAACTGAAATAACTTTCTAAAACATTTTATTTAAGCTGACGTTAATATGATATACGTATGCATTCCTGTATAAGTATAGTATAATAATGAATTTGGATTAGTTATAGAATACAGTAAAGGATAAAGGCAATGAGGTTGTGGCAACATAGCTGATGGATAGTTGCAAAAAACTCTAGGCATAGCTAATGGATTTGTTGAAGGCAAAAGTTCAATGCTTGAAAAAGTAAAAAGGATACATATTTCTTTTTTTTTCGTTGTTGCCATTTTCTACTTACTTTTTAAAGTAATCCACTTGTAAGCAACATACTATTTTCATTTTTATTACATTTTACTTAAAACTTATGAATGAATAATAGGTATTCGGATAAACTATAAATCAAAGTTATTCAAACATTAAACATAAAGAAAAATTTTGTAGATGAATAAACTGAAATATTTTTAAACATAATTTTGCTGTGTCTTCATTTATTAGTAAAAAATATCTAAAATATCATTTTTATTTCAAACAACTCGTACTAATTATACAAACATTATATCATAGTTATTAATCATAATAAGTTGAACTCATTTCCACAAATATTAAATTTGGGTTAAGCTTCGAAAAATTAGTCAAATTTGTTATTATATACACGTTTTAAAGCACGTCTATATTCTATACACCAAATAAAGTTAATTAATAATAAACCCGAGGGTTAAAAGGTAAGCGCAAGTTTAGGGGTAGAGAACTTTAAATTACTGCTAATGCAGTAGATAATTGATAATATGTTGTTTAATAGTAATGGCAGTAATAACTTTGAGAATTAGTGTTTAAACTACCATATGGGACCATTATAAATATGAGTACCTTATATTGTAAGTATACTATATCCTATGTCCACCAATAAATTTGTGTACTAACGTGTTAACACTAAAACCCTTAGGCTTTTATCTTCAGAAATTAACATAAATTTATACTCATTCACTTGGAAAACACGATAGAAAAATAGTTTATGCTTAACTTACGAATAATATGCCTTACAACTTATCGCACACAAACATCTACAGAATTCCTTTCAGTGTCATGATTGCCGTTTATAACTTTTCGAGGATGTGTTTGACTATCATTATCTGGGTACACTTTCCGATAACTCATAATTATACACAATTTTGAACCCACTGCGGGCAATTATGTTTATATGTATTATACTCATCAAGTACTGTATTACTGTTATTACTTTGTAGCAGGCAAGCATAAGAAGTTGTTGCAAATACAAAAACGCTTTTCTATTTTTTAGAATTCATATCCAGAAATTATACCTTATATATAGTACCTTACATAAAATTACCTATTATAAATTATATGTGTGATAATTTTTGGACACTCCACAAAACTCGTGTGTGTGTCTTTACTATATAGTCAAAAAATATGTTAATGTATTAGAGATGTTAACAACACTGAAAAACTTGTTTTATCCTGTATTTTTTATAAATAATACACCAGTTTTGAATTGTACATTTTAAAAGGACTATAATAATTTTACAGTTTAATTTATATATAAACGGCCGAGTAAGTATATTTTTTTATAAATTTCTACGGTGTAGCACTAAATACACTGTGTAGGTTTTACAAAGGCAATACCGCTTATGTAACATACTTATGAGCTAAAACTGATAACGCCTACGATTTAGCCAGAAGCAAATATTTCTCTCTCTGTTTTCCCCTTAAACCACTGATACATTTCCAATTATGTTGCATATATATTTTATGTTTATCATATACATAGTAATTAAAACCCTCTTTATTCAACACAATAAATATAGATCCTTTAACATCGTTATTAGTAATAAACCACTCATCATAATTTTTTCGAATTTCTAATATTTTTATTTTTAAAACACAATTTTTTATGTACAAATGCAAGTTTCATTTGCATTAAAATTCGGTGATAATTATATGTTTGGAAATATATAACGACCTACATAGTTATTTTAATATTTACAGAAGATCTATAAAGTACTTGCTAAAATTTTCTTAAATATTTATTAATAAATGTTTAGAAACTTTTTAAATTACCCGTTTTCGATTTTTTACATCGAATATTGGTTATACATGAAATATGTCCATAAAATAATTTTTTAGTCAATAATTAAATTAGTAATTTACTATATTATTTGCAGAAGATTTATTGAAATAAGTAGCCTATAAAAAAAATTACTTTTATTGATGTTTATTAAGTTTCATTAAGTTTATTTAAAAATGTTTCCTTTAATTGATGAACAATTTGACGAAAAAGAAAATAATTTTTATATGTACAAATTTGTGACTGGTGGAACATCAAAGACAAGTATAAATTAAAATTTCCATCATTTTTATAAGGTCTAATAAAAATAATTGACAAACAATTCAAACTTTTTACAAAATATTATTGCTTGTTTAAAGTTCAAAGTTGTTTCTTAGGAAATCATTTGTTGTTATGAAGTTTTTATTCGAAAATAATGGCAAAAATAAACTTTCAACTGAAGAATAAGATCAATTTTTGATAATTCATAAATGTTTTGATATACAGATGATAGAAAAACATACAATAAATTTCTAAGAATACTTATTAGCCCAAATAATTGAAGAATTTTAATATAAAAAAATACTAATATTTTTATTTTTAAAAAAATATTTAAATATTATGCACACGTTTTTCCTTTTTTTATTAAAACCTATAATTTAACTGTTTAGGAAAAAATATACACGGAATACTTAATTTAGGTAACTATTTCAATTAATATATTTTATGAAATATGTGACAGAAATCGTTTTTAAACTGTTTTTTTTATAAATACTTAATCCGAGGCAGAACAATGAATAATGATGTATAGCGACATATTTTCAAGTTAACAGAACGCACATTTGTATTTTTATTTCTTACGGTG